CCAAGTAGCTGGAACTACAGGCGCACACCATCACGCCTGGCTAATTTTTGATTTATTGTAGAGATGAGGTCTTGCCAAGGTACCCGGGTGAGTCTCGAACCCGCGGGCTCAGACAATCTACTCACCTCAGCCTCCCAAAGCGCTGGGATTACAGGCTGAGCCACCGAGCCCAGTCTGTACCCTACATCTTTAAAATTAAAAAAAAGGAAGAAAAAAATTCAAGGCCCGGTCTGAATAACAGTGAAAATCCAGTGCATGACCACATGAGTCTAACTTCTTGGCACAAAAACAATCAAGTATTAGCCAGGCACAATGGCTCAAGCCTTATATCTCACCTTGGGAGGCCAAGGTGAGAGGATTGCCTGAGTCCAGGGGTTTGAGACCAACTTGGGCAACTTGGTGAGACCTTGTCTCTACAATAAATCAAAAAATTAGCCAGGCATGGTAAGGCGCACCTGTAATTCCGGCTACTTGGAAGGCTGAGGCGGAAGGATCGACTGAGCCCAGCAGGTTGATGCTAGGGTGGCCATGAGCATGCTACTGCACGCCAACCTGGGTGACAGAGTGAGATTCCAACTCAAAAAAAAAAAAAAACAGGTATTTTTTGCATGAGTATAATATAAAACAATCTCCAGAAATACACCTCTTGTTTAAATTGAGGAACAACTGGTTGCTGTTTTGTTCGGGACTTTGCAGAGAACTGTTCTTCATTTTGGGACATTACATCTCTGACAGCAACTCTACGCATATTTGAGTCACAAGTCAAGATACTTGAACCAGCAGCAATCACATTCACGGTGATTCGTATTTGCATAAACACAATCATTTATCAACTATTTCAAAGTGTCAAATATCAAGTGTCAACAAAATTCTATAAAATGACCTTTTCTCTAATCATTCCAAACTTACTGATTCTAAGTAGGTGCCACCTAGCATTTTGTCTTTGGCGTAGCCATGCCCAAGCATTTACATATTGCCATCACGTTATTTTATGAGAAATCACTTCCCTTCTTTTTCTCCTTTGTATTGCAATTAGGGCATTAACATTGATTTTTTTAAAAATTATGTGTGTAGGTAGATATATTACCCTTGAATTTCAGTTCAGATTGGAAAAGGAGATATTAAAAACATTCATTATAAAAAGAGGGTGTTGGGTCTGCTAGAACTGAAAACTCACTGGTATAGGTGAGAAGCACCATTTGAGAGGTGGCAAGAACAAAAGGAACCCACAGAAAATGGAACAAAGGGCTGGACTCAGCACTTTGAGAGGCCAAGGGGAGTGGATTGCCTGAGCCGGCGGGTTCGAGACCAGCCCAGGCAACTTAGTGAGACCACATGTCTAAAATTAAAAAAAAAAAAAAAAAATTAGCTGGGTGTGCTAGCGCTTGCCTATAGTTCTGGCTCCTTGAAAGACTGAGGCAGCAGGATCACTGGAGCCCAGCAGGTTGACGCTGGGGTGGCATGAGTGTGCCACTGCACTCTAGCCTGGGCAATGGAGTGAGACTCCAACTCAAAAAAAAAGAAAAGAAAAGAAAAGAAAATGAAATAGAGGACCAGAGAGGGAGGAGGAAACCAGAAAGACACGGAGCCTAGAAACAAAGAAAAGTGTTTCTAGAAGAAGGGTGGCAAACAGGGCATGTATTGCCTAGGCTTGGACAGGCATTGGGTGAATGGATAAGGAGGTCTTATGTGACACTGGAGGAGCTGGGGCTGGGGAGAGGTGAGAAGGCGGCAAGCTGCTGGCAGGATCTGAGGTTTTGGGGTGTTCTTGCCAGGAGGGCATGAGGAAAGGATGACCTAGGAAAGAGGTGAGGACAACGGCTGAAGAGATGGCCTAGGAGTCACTTGGAGATGGATGACCTGAAAGCAGGCCGGGCTCAGAGAATGGGAAGGAGGAGGTCAGAGGACTCACTGCACAGAGTGACTGAGGGAGAGCTGGGAGGGTCAGGGGTCATGGTCAGAGGAAAACCTTAGGAATGCTGACTTCTGAGGAAGAGTTCTCCTGAATAATGACAGGCTTTTAGGTGTGGCTGCAGGAAGCGGTGGGCCGAGTGAACACTGGATGTGAGGGGCCCAGAAGGCAGGTTCTGGATGGGCTGCTACAGGTCAGGTACCAGCCAAATCCCTAGGATGATGATACCAAACCCTGTCCCTTGATCACCCTCCAGCATGAGTCCCACAAGGGCAGGGACCTGGCCTGCTGAGTCATTGTGCTTAGTCACATCTGGAGATTAACAAACATCTGTTGAATGAGCAAATGTGTGGGAGGAGTTGGAGTGCAGAAGAGATTGAAGAGAGCCCCAGGTCAAAGATTCCAATGAGGGAGGGGACGTGAGCAGGGGCCTCCTGAGAAGGGGCAGAGAATGCGTTGCTGGAGAGCATAATGCTCAGGAAGAGGGCCCTCAGCTGAAGAGCAGAGAGGATGGCCTACAGAGAGGGGGTGACTGCCCCCACCCCCAACACTGATGTGAGAACTCAGCCAGATTGTCATGGCAAGCTCCTCAGTTCCCTCTCAGCACCTCCTCACACACCTGGCTCTTTTCTGCCTGTCTGGAATGCGCCTCCTTCTCCTTGACATGAGCGACTCCATTTTTGCCTTTAGGACTCGAGCCCAAATTCACCTCCTCTGGAAGGCCTTCTATGCTAGGAGACCACTCTTATTCTCTACTGTTTTCTGTCACTGTATCCTGTTTTGTTTCTCAATAGCATACCATGTCTGCTATATCATTACACTGAAAATATTCATCCATTTCACTTGGGGTCCATGGCAAGCAGAATGAGCTCTTCCCACCACCACCATCAAAGATGACTCCATCCTAATCCCTAGGACATGTGAATATGTGACCTAACATGGTAAACAGAACTTTGTGGATGTGATGAAGTTAAGGATCTTGAAATGGGAAGACTTCCCTGGATAATCCAGACAAGCCCCAAGGAATCACCAGGGTCCTTATGAGGAGAAGGAAGTCAGAGAAAGAGAGAGAGATCTGAAGATGTTACCCTGCTGGCCTTGAAGATGGTGGAAGGGGCATAAGCCAAGGAATGCAGACAGTTTCTAAAAGATCACACCTGTAATCCCAGCAGTTTGGGAGGTGGAAGCAAGAGGATTGCCTGTGCCCATGGGTTCGAGACCAGCCTGGGCAACATGGCAAGACCTCATCTCTACAAAAAATTTTTAAAAAATGAGTTGGGCATGATGGTACAAGCCTGTAGTTCCAGTTATTTGGAAGGCTGAGGCAGAAGGATTGGCTGAGCCCAGCAGGTAGAAGCTGAAGTGGTTGTGAGTGTGCCACTGCACCCCAGCCTGGGCAACAGAATGAGACTCCGACTCAAAAAACAGAATAAAATAAAAGCAGAAAGGGAAGGAAATGGATCTCCTCTTGAGCTTCCAGAAGGAACCAGCCCTGTTAATAATGGATTTTAGCCCAGTGAGATCTATTTCAGACTTCTGACCTCTAGAACTGTAGGAGATTAAGTGTGTGTTGTTCTAAGCTACTAAATTGTCATAATTTTTTCAGCAGCAATAAGAAACTAATACAGGAGTATTATTTGAAACTATGCAAATCCCAAAACGTTAAAAAAAATAATCAAGATTCAAAAATGTCAAAGCCAGTAGACCAAGTGAATTGCAACTGACTGCCATATGGCAGTTAGTTCCATTTAGTTGGGAGACAGAAAAACCTGCCACCCATTAAGGTTAGTCTTGAAGTGAACAAGTTCTGAATGAGACAATATCTTTGGAATATATTCTTTGAACAAAATATGATCTCCAGTGTTTCTGCATCTAATTACTTGTCTATTCTTGGCTTCTCTGCCTCTTGAGGACAGGGATAGGGCTGGGTCTTCACTTGAGCACCTGGCACACAGAGGGGCTCACGGGCATCTGTGGAATGACCAGGGATATGCAAATATTGATGGGGAGGAGGTGAGGAAGAAGTGCTCCTCAAGAAGCCTGGATGTTTGAGATTGACCTGGAAAGGCTCCCAAGAGCCTTAGGATCCAGGTTAGGTAGTGCTGAGGGCTGGCTGGCACGGGGAGGGAGCCCAGTCCCAGCCTGGCCTTGCCTCTAGCCAAACGCATGCTTTTTAGCAAGCGACTTCTTCTCTCTGGGTCTCAGTCTTCTAATCCACAGAGCAGGTAGCATATTTCCTGTTCTAAACATTCTCCTCTGTTTTCTGTGGTTCTCATGAGGAAAGGGAAGTGAGAAGAGTTGTAGGAACTGTAACCAAGCCCAGCTGCTATTTCAAGACCAGGTTAGCAAATGCGGATGCTTACGGAGGCCAGCAGACGGCTGCAGTGGGCAATGGGGATGAAGGCGGATGGGAGCAGACCTTGACACCAGGCAGGAATGCCAGTCGAGCGTTGCCAGATCTCCTGGGTTTTCAAGGAGAGCAAGAAGTCTGGATCTGTGAGTGAATTTGCCCCAAGTGTTGGCATCTAATTCTCAACTTTTAAAAACTATAGGCCAGTGTGGGTATCTGTCCTGTGACATGTAGCTTCTTGGGGCCTTGTGTCAGGGACAAAGAAGTTATGTTCGAGATACTGGGTTCCTTTGAGACTTTGAGGGAGCATCTGGACAGTGAAGGTTGTCCTGGTTCAGGGACTCTACACCCTTGTGATGCCCAGGGCAATGTCTAAGACAGTAACAGCAATGCTCAACCTGTTACAATCGTACCCCTCTTGCCAGCATAAGGCTGCCCAGCTCACAGAGCACTTTTCCATAACAGCCTCATGGAATCCTTATAACCCTGACACGTGGGCATCTTTATCCCCATTTTTCAGATAAGAAAATGAGGCATGGGGAAGAGATATGACCTATTCAAGGTCACATAGCTAGTGAGTGGCAGAGCCAAGGTTCAGCTCTCCCCACCCATTCCCTGCAACACAGCTCTCAGTGGGGAATGGGAAATCTGCCCAGGAGACTGCTGCAGCTGCCCAACCCTATCCAGGTCTCAGATGGGCCCCTCTCCTCAGCCCTGGGCAAATAGAAAACTTCTCACCAGACTCCGCTGACACAGCGTGTGGACAGTGCCCGGGGCATGATTTCTGAGCCTTGCTGCATGAAGCCCCCCACAGGAAACCAGAGGCTGTTGCCCAGCGTGTACTGATTCTCCAGGATGTGGGGGCGTGCCCGCAGGCACGGGTGTGGGTTATACCACTCGTAGGGGCTCAGCCTGTGGAGAGATGTGGGTGGGTGGATGGGGCCAAGGTGGGGGGTAAAAAGAGCCGCAGTGATCAGAAGAAAAAGGAGAGAGATGGAAATAGGAGGGAGATGGAGAAAGACGCACATGGAGAAGAGGCAGAAACACACAGAGAGACAGAGGCAGAGAAAGACACACACAGAGACAGAGACACAGGAGAAGCAGAAAGAGACAGAAACACACACAGAAAAAACAGAGAAGACAGTAGAGGCAAAAAAGGAGAGAGACAGAAAGAACAGGAGGGGAGAGGCCCAGATAAAGAACCACAGAGCAAAAGTCAGAGCCACAAGAGGAAAGAATGAGACCCAGACACAAGGCAAAAAAGGAAGCAAGGAGGGGTCAGGGAATCCGAGGCCCCGAAGGGAAGGGCAAGGATGGTTCAGACAGAAGAGAGAATGTGCAGATCAGTCACAGAGGTCCCAGTTCATGCCTCCTCCCACCCCGTCTTTCCCAGGCCGTAGGCAGCGGACTCACCTGGCAGCCAGAAATAGGACGCAGCTGACAGCCAGGTAGGCAAGAAGCATGAAGAGCCACACTGCAGGGGAGAAGGGATCCAGGAAGGAGAAGTAGCCAGGCTTGCGACCCTGAGGGGAGAGGAAGTGAGACTCCCTGAGCTGCAAGCCCAGTCCCGCCAGAGACCCAGGAGCCTGACCAACCCATCCAAGGCCCAGTGGGAGTCTGGCTCCCACTCATAGCCCCTACCCTTAGCCTTCATATGAGGCAAGCAGTCCACAGTCTCCAGCGGAACCCTACCATGTGCACTCGGTAGAGGATGCTGATTCCCAGGGTCATGAAGGGTTTGGAAAAGTCGATGACCTTCTCCCGCTCAGCTGTGATGGTGAATGCAGCCACAGCCAGGTCTGCCTTCTGCTAGAGGGAAAGCAAGGTGGGGAGAGAGGGCAGAGGGGAAGACAGCAACTGGCAGTTAGAGAGAAATGCACTGAGAATGAGTGACAGAGGGAGGCAAAAAAGAGAGAACAGCAGGGGCCAGGTGCCTGGACTGGCTCCAGAAACCCACCTCGGGTCTGAAATTGAACCCTCATCATCTCATACCTTCCCTGGCTGCCTGTCCCATCCATTCTCTCCTGTCCCCTGCCTCTCATCAGGTTCCCATTAAGATCCTGTTTTATAAAACCTTGCCACTCACCCCACCACCCTCATCACCATAGGAGTTTTGCAGACAGCCTGAGATTGGAGACCCACTGTGCCTGGTAGCTGGACACTGACCCACTTTCACCTTTTCTGTCTTCATGGTTCACAGGTAACATTTATTACTGTGTGTCAGGCTCTGCTACATAGCACTTTATACAGATTACTTTGTATATTCCTCCCACCAGCTCCCGAAGAGCCACTTTTAGCCCTATTTTATAGATGGCAAAACAGTCCCAGAGAGGCAAAGGCACTAAAGGCAAGAGCTAGGGATTGCAAAGCAGGATGTCACCTCTATTCTCCTGCCCCCAGCAAACATTAGTGACCTTGATTATCATGAAGGTACCACTGAGACACAGGACCAGTGCCCACGTGGTCTCAAGCAGGAGAAGGTGGCTGGGGTCCAGGTCTGAAGTGGCAAAGGGTCAGGGGTAGGTGAGGTGGGAGAGAGGGAGGGCTTTAGATTTAGGGCCTGACTCGCATACCCAGAATCTCTTTCAGAATGCACTGGTTGATCCAAAAGGCCATCCCACTCTGGGCCCAGGAGACATTAGCCAGCCTTTAGCTGAGGAAAACTAGGCTGGGGGGAAACCTGGAACTTCACACACCTTCCTGCATGCACACATGAGCACTGTACACAGTCACATCTACATCACCATTGACCTGTGCTCAACATGCCACACCCACACATGCCAAAACACAGCCTGACTCAGAGACATGGGGACACAGGCCAACAGAGCAGACACAAAGAGGGCCTCTCCAAAGGCACGGTACACACCCACATGCATACACAGCACTTGCACATGTATATACAGGACACAGCAGGTAGGGCAGGGCATGGGGAGTAGAGAGCCCTGGATTCCAGCCACGGCTCTGCCCCAGTTTGCTGGATGACCTCAGGCAGGAGCTTTCAGATCTCTGGGCCCCAGCTTGCTCATCTGTAAAACGAGGGAATTGGGCAAGGTCTCCCACAGCTCTTCTGGTCCTGGGTGGGGACCCAGCTCCCCAGAAGGGGTTCCAGGCATACTGACTCCATCCCCTAGGCCTCAACTGGGTCCCAGCATCAGGGGCTGGGGATGGATGGGTGCCTCAAACTCAGATTCAAGCAGCAACCTCCCTCCAGGGCTAAAATAAAAGAGCCAAGGTCCTGAAGGGGCTGAGACTGAGAGCACATCAAGTCTGAGGCCCGGACAGAACCTGCGACAGGCAGAGAAGCAGAGACCTCCTGGAGAGAACAGAGAGCAAGAGGAGAAGGTGCAGGTCAGAGTGTGTCCCCAGCCAATGGAGAAACAGCCCAGGCCCTAACCCAGTCTACACTCAGGGGTGGAGGGCACAAGCCTCAAACTGAACCCATGGTCAGGAGATGATACAGGTACCAAAGCACAACCCTAGATGAAGGAGAGATGGCCCAGGCTCAAAACTTACCCCAGAGTCAGGAATAAATGGCACAGGACACAAACACAACCTGAGGTCAGCAAGAGATGACACAGGCCCAAGAGATAACCACAAGGTAGACAGAGGTGGCACAATATGAAAACAAAACCCAAGGTCAAGGAGAGAATAGGTGGGCCCGAAATGAAATCCAGGATCAGGAAGAGGAGGAAGACCCCAAAGAAAACTCCTTAATGTCAGAGAGAGAGGACACAGGCCCAAAGGATGAAATAAGAGCAGAGAGACAGTATAGGTTAAACAGCTAATGCAGGGTGAGGGAGAGATGGCGCTGGTCCCAATATAATGCAGGAGCAGAGAGAGCTGGCACAGCCCCAAAGCATATTCCAGAAGTGGCAATGCGTGGCAGAGGCCCAAACATGGCTGGATTCTGAGAATACCTTTGGGAATTCCTGGGTGTTGAGAGTAGAGAGCTTTTTATCCCTGTTCTGGTACACTTGCCACTTCATGACTAAAATGTGGCTCGTTATGGGAATAAATCACAGCTAATACAGGACTTTTATTATTTTATGTATCCACTGAAGGTCTGTTCCGGCAAGGCCCTCCACAGTGGCCGAGACCCCATTTGGAGAGGAGAAAGCAGTGGCTTTTCAGATAGGCTCGGGTTTTCGGGCCAGGCGCTCAGGATCTCCTTCCTCTTGAAAGCTTACAGGAAGCAGCCACTGCACTCCAGTCTGGGCAACAGAGTGAGACTCCAACTCAAAAAAAAGAAAAAAAGCTTACAGGGCCTCCTCCTCCTTTCTGTGCCATTCCTGGCTCCCTTACAGTGTCTCAGGCTAGACAAATGTTCTCAGGGCCCTGGGCCTGGGCCTGCTGCTTCTCCTCCCAGTAGCAAGGGCCGCGGCTCTGCTCCTGAAACCCTCCTCAGACCTGTCCGCTTTTCTCCACCTCCATCATCCGTGCCTGGGCCATAGGCCACCTGTCTCTCTCTCCTGACAACTGCATTTGCCTCCTTACCAGCGCCCCCTGCTGCCACTCATAATCTCCCAATCCATCCCTCACATACAAACCAAAGAGAGAGATCCCTGTTTAAAACCCATCTTAGCTTCCCATGACACCTAAGACAAAACCCTTTTGTGCCAAGAGCCCCTGGTGACCTAAGACCCACCTGCCTTGCTGGCCTCACCTCATGCCCTCCCCCTCTGCTCCAGTCACAATGCCTGCTTTTTGCCCAACGCAGCAGGCTCATTCTCCAACTCAGGGTCTTTTACATGCGCTCTTCCCCCACTCTTCCTCACCACTCCAGGCTCTGAGCATGCCCAGCCCTTCAGCCCTCCCCAAAGCAGCCTCCAGACTCCATTTCAACCCACCTCAGGGTCCTCTCCCTCACATTACGCATGACCCTTTTATATGCCTTTCTTAGAGTGATTGGAGATGATCTTGCTCGTTTGCTCAGCAATGGGCTGTCTTCAGTACATGACAGCTCCTTGCTTGTCTGGCTCAGTGGGGTACCCCAGAGCACACACAGTAAGTGACCAACAAATCCTGCTTGTGTCTGACCAAGTTCAGCCTCTCTGAATGGCATCCAAGGCTGCTGACAGCTCCCCAACTACATTACTGGGCCACTTGCCACTCCTGACTCTCGTGCCAGCTTTTTTCTGGCCACCATACCTCTCAGCATGTCACTCCCTTTGCCTGAGGTGTCCCCTCCGCCCTGCAGAGCTGGATCCCACCTCACCCTCCAGGGTCCCTCATGCCCTCCCTCCTCTGGGATGCCTTTCATGTACCCTCACACCCTGGACTCCACTTGATCTCAACACACAGCTCAATTCAGAAAATATCTCTTGGCTTCTCTGCCTCTACTGCTAACCCATCGGCCCTGCAAAGACAGAGCCAGCTGGACACGTCATGTGGCTCTGGCACTGTTTGAGGGCCAGCTTGGAGTGAGATCTGCTGCATCTCATCCTTTGCTGAAAGCCTGAGAATGTCACTGCTTCCTCTGGAGCCCTCCCAGACACCCCAGGTGCAGAGATCTCTTCTTCCCTGGTGCTGCAATGGGACCTCGTGCAAGTCAGATGCTTGCAAGCATACAGCACACGCCCAGTGTGGTCACCATTCCAAGGTTCTCCCAGAGTAGCTTGCTTGGTCCCCAGAGCAACCCTATGCAGAGGAACCTCATTCCCATCATTCTATATGTGAAGAAACTGAGGCACAGAGAGTAAGCACCTTGCTCTAGTTGACCCTTGGATTCAGAGTCACTTCCCTTTCGAGGGGGCTTTATCTACCTGCTGCCCCCAACCCTCCATGGCTAGGGCAGATCTGAGGTCAAGTCTAGGTATATGACTCCTCCCTAGGAGCCAGGGACTCCAGGAAATGAGCCCTCACTGACCAGAGGGGTAAGCGAGTCCTTGAACCTCCAATGAATATGCAGCAGTCTCAGCCTCCTCCCTCTTCCAACACCATCCCAGGCAGAAGCCTGGGGGTCATCCTACACACGCCCTCTCCCTCACCCATCACTGTGTCACTCTCAAGCCCCCCAATTCTGCTCCTAAAACACCTCTGGAATTGAGATGTTTCTCTTTGTCTCCATAGCGCTCACCTACCCAGGCCACCATCTCTGACTGGAAAGCTGTTTTCCACCTCCAAGGCCACTTAGCTGTTAGCCTGAGGGACCCTAATACACTACATCAGGTCACCTCCCACCCCGCTTACATTCTACAGTGACTCTCCTTGTTCTTAAACTGTCATTCAAACTCCTTACCTGCCCCTCTGAGACCTTAACTACACCAGTCCCCCTGTGAGACCCTACCCCTTGTCCCCTCCATAAGGCCCTGCCCCAAACCTGGCACTTCATGAGACCTTGCCCCATTCTTGTCTCCCCATAAGGCTCTTCCCCATACCTAGACCCTTATGAGACCCTGCCCTATACCTGTCCCTCCCATAAGGCCTTCGTCAAAATCTGTCCCCTCATGAGACCCTGTCCCACACCTGTTCCCCCCGTAAGGCCCTTCCCCAAACCTGGCCCCTCATGAGGCCCTGCCCCACACCTGCCATGAAGTCCTGCCCCATCAGACCCCTACAACCTCACCTGCCTCACCTCCCCACCACCTTACCATCTATCCCCATGATACAGCCACCCAGTCCTTTCCATTTGTTCATTCATTCATTAATAAATACCTGCTCAACAAATATCTGATGAGCACCCTCCACTGGCCAAGCACAATTGTAGCTTTGGGAATACAGTAGTGAATATAAACTTAGGATGTCAGGTAGTGACAAGCACTATGATGAAAATGAAGCAGGCAACAAATCAGAGACTGGCAGGAGATACT